TTCCACCGCTCTCCTCCCCTGCACATCTCACTTCTCTCCTCTGAATCCTTCCCACTGCAGGGAGCTGCTGAGGAGCTGCATGGTCCATCCTGGGATTCTCCAAGCACTGACTGCCCATCCACTCTGACCACAGCCAGGGGCCACATCCCACTGCCTGCCCAGCGTCCATCCATGAACGTGAGCACCGTGTCCACGCCTTTCACCTCACCCACTGAAGATCCATGTGAGACAGATGTCACCAATGTGGCCATCCACAGTGTCACACTGCTCATCAGCCTCTGTGGGCTATTTGGGAATGGGGCTGTGCTCTCCCTCCTCAGCCTGGAACTCATTAACAGCAGAATTTTTGACCTGGCTGTCACCGACTTCACCTTCCTTCTCTTCACGGGGCCTTCCGCCCTGCTCTTCCTGGTGGAGGATTTGTCCTGCTCTCCAGTTGTGCCCCTGGGTTACCTGAACTTCCTTTTCCAGCTCTCAGTGGTCTGTCAGTACTGGGTGCTGTGCTGGCTGACAGACGTTGTCATCGCAACGGGCATTGTCAAGCTCTGCAATCTCCTCGGCCACTACAGCCTTTCAGAGCGCCTGCTGTGGGTGGTGTCGGGCATCGAATTCTGGGCCTTCTTCATTCTCACCACTGTCATTCCCACAGTAACATTGCTGTGCCCATCACATGAGCAGCAGCAGTGCCGGGCAGCTGTCATCTCCATTTTCACTGTCATGCTGCTCCTCCGTGCTGCACCCACGGTCATTTCCCGCATAATCAAATTCATTAAGGCCAAGTGCGGCTCTCAGCAGCAGCAACTCAAAAGGCGCGACATCGCTGTCTGCCTCACTGTGCTCTTCACTCTCCTCCTCCTCCTTTGGAATTTCCTAGAGCAGCTTGGTTACACCCCTCTGTCCTCCAAGATTTTTCTCCTGCTCACCTGCATCAACAGCACCATCAAACCCTTCATCTACTTCGTGGTGGGGAGGTGTTGGAGGCCCTGCTCTGTGGGATCCCTCCGGGAATCCCTCCAGAGGGTCTTTGATGAGCAGAAAGACAACACTGCTGGAATCAATGATGCCGTCACGCACACACAGGTTCGGAGGCTGTTGGTCCGTGCGCAGCCGACCAGGGACACTGCATAGCTGGAAGTGGCTGAGACAGTGGCTGACGGTTTCCCTGAACGTCCCAACTAATAAATATCCACAGAACCAACCTTGCACAGTGTATTCCCACAGAAGGGAGCAGTGCATTGCCATGGGCAATATGGGAGGGATGCTCTGCAGGGAGCACATTGGAGCGTGGCTTTCCCCCTCACTCAGGGGTCCAAGAACACCCTTCCCCCAAAGGGGTTCTTCCCAACCAGACTGGGATCCCAAAAATCCCCCTGGCACCTGGTTCCTGCATCCCACTGCGTTCTGATATCAATAAAGAGCATCGTGAACCCTGAGCTGCCTTGGCCCCGTCTGCCAGCGCTTGCCGCCTTCCTCTGGCTCCTGCTGCCAGCCGGGAATGGGGGTGGAGGGAGGGGACACAGCCATGGCTTGTGCTCCCTGCAGCAAACATGATCCCCAGTGCCCAGAGCTGGGATGGCAGTGGCACAGCCGGCATGGACAGGATGGCCCAGGGGCTCAGCATTCCCCGCTGGCTGCTCTGGGAGTGTCACAGCAAACATCTCCCACAATATCTTTTAATTCCATTGTTTTGAGCCAGGTGTAAAGCAGTTTTTACCTTCAGGAATTCTCCCTCTCCCATTGTTTCAGTTTCTCTGTCAGCAGGCTCGGATGGTGCAGCTGCAAGGGAAGGGCAGTCTGTGCTCCTCAGCACGGCCACCCCCTTCCAGGAGCAGGGTGACACCTGTGTTTGTCACCATGGCTTCCATGGGGCATCACCCCCTCCCTGTGGCTTCATTTAGATCACCAGCCCCACCCCATCCCACACCTTCCCACTCTGTCCCACCGCATCCCAATCCCACCCCACAGTCTCCCATCCCACTCTCCCATCCAGCCCACCCCTCTCCCGTCCTTCCCATCCCTCCCATTCCCGTGTCTGAAGCTCCATTCCCTTCCCATCAGCGGCCCACCCCATTCTGCCCAATAAGGTTTGGGGTGATGGCTTCCCAGGGAGACCCCAACCACTCCAGAGCTTCACCCGCAGTGCCAGCCCCCACACAGCCCTTGGAGAGGAACAAAAGCAGTGCAGGGATGGATCCAGGGACATTTATTGGGATGGAAGACTGGGAGCAGCCAGGAGGAGCAAAGGCAGAGCCCAGGGTCCCGTGTGGAGCAGGGCAGGAGCGGGGCTGTCGGGGGAAAAGGCGGCTCTGAGGGGGATCTGGAGGTGTCAGAGGGGGTCAGGAGGGTCTGGAGAGGGTCGGGGCAGCTGCTTGTCTGGAGCTGCTGGAGGCCCTGCTCCTTTGGGACCCTCAGGGAATCCCTCAGGAGGGTCTTTGAGGAGCCAGAAGGAAACACTGCCCACAGCAATGATGGCACTATGGACACGGTGCTCTGAGCCTGTTGATCTCTTCCCCTGCACTGCTGAAGGACCCCGGGACAGTGGCTGAGGGATTCCTTGATCAATAAATACCCACAGGATCACCCTCCCTGTGCTGCTGCATCCCCCAGCCCTTCCCAGGCCCCACTGCATCTCAGAAATGCTCCTGAGGCCTCGGCCTTGAGGAGCAGCCCCTGGGCTCGGCTCCTCTGCAGCTGATCACAAACTCCATCTGCTCCCAGCAGCTGCTGCTGCCCAACAGCTCCTGCCTTTTAGGAACACCCTTGGACACTGCTTTTGCTGCTGGAATTTGCAACATCCCTGTTCTCTCACCGCCAATGAAAGTTGCCAAGCCGAGGTGGGGCCAGGATGAAACACTGTTGTGACTGAAGCCCATCCCTTGGGGCCCTATAAACAGCGATCCTAAAGGAGACCCTTGGAGCTGTCCTGGGCCCCACAGCGCTGAGCAGAACCTCCCTCACAGTGGGGCCTCTCCGAGCCGGGAACTCTCCCGTTTGCTGCACTCGGGGGATCCCCAAACAACCACGGGCCCTGGGCCGATCCCCCCACTGCTCGAGGCTCAACCCTTCACCCCGGGAGGAGATGCAAAGGCACCCACAGTGAGCATTTCACTGCCTCTCAGGGGAATTTCTCACAGGGACTTTGCTCTGACTCTCTGTCTGTGTCCATGCAGGTGTCATATTTCTGGTTTGATTGAGTGGATTTTGTCTGTTTACACATTTCCATTCCTTGATGTGCCTGTCTGGTTAGTGGTAGAGTGAACCTGGCCAATTAATTTTGTTGTGCTTTCACTTGATATTAAATCTGGTTATTACTGCTCCCTTTATCGATGATATTTTAAGTTAAATCTGGTTATTACTGCTCCCTTTATCGATGATATTTTAAGTTAAATCTGGTTATTACTGCTCCCTTTATCGATGATATTTTAAGTTAAATCTGGTTATTACTGCTCCCTTTATCGATGATATTTTAAGTTAAATCTGGTTATTACTGCTCCCTTTATCGATGATATTTTAAACGATGTCAAACACTCATTCGAAGTGTGTAGTCCCCCAGGAGAAGGGAGCAGGGGCATGCGGCAGGGATGCTCTGTAGGGAATACCTGAGGGTTTTCCTCCTCCCTCCCGGGTCCTGGAGCCCCAGAGCCAGGAGGAGCCGAGATGCTGCCGGGGGTCCCGGCTGGAGCGGGGCAGAAGCGGGGCAGAATTGGGAAAGGCGGCCCCGGGGGATAGGGCAGGGGATCGCCTGGGGGATGGGAGGACGTGTGGAGGGGGCTGCAGGAGGTCAGGAGGGGTCGGGAGAGGGTCGCAGAGGGCTGGAGGGGCCCGGGATGGCGGCAATCCCAAATGTGCCCACAGGAGGACAGCAGAGCCCGGCAGATCTCACCCGGAGCGGGGGCGTGGCTGCCGGCCGGAAATCTGCGGGGTGGGATGGGATGGGGTGAGGATGGAGAGCGGGGTGGGGATGGGGAGCAGGGATGAGGACGGGATAGGATGGGATTGGGATAGCATGGGGAGTAGCTCAGATGCGCTTTCTAGGGCCCAGGGCAGGTTTTGGCAATGATCCCATAGCTTTTCCCAGAATGGGAGCTGTTTCTGAGAAGCACCCAGCTGCCTCCCCAGCACTGCCAACACCACCAGCATTCCAGTGCCACCCGCAGCACCAGCATCCCTCTGCTGCTGGAGGGAACATGAGCCTTCAGGGAACAAAAACGAGGAATGGTAGAAAACTGTGAGGAGAGGGAAGGCAGTCCGAGATTGGGACATTCTGCAGGGAAGGACTGTTTCTAATCAGGAGGAAATGAGGATCCAATCACAAAATCCTGCATGTGGAGCTCCTGGCAAAAGCCACTTCCTTTGTTACAAGAAAAAGAAAATCAACACTAATTATACCAAGGAAGTGAAACGCTGACGTAGCCAAAGTTGCCAAATTTCCGAGTCCCCTGTGACTCCACTGAGTCTTGGGGAGCAACACCAGCACAGGGCACGAAGCAGAGACAACAGGGTGAGAGCGGGGACCGCCTGAAGATCTGGGGACTTTCTCCTTCATGTAACTGACCTGGGAGGACCCACTTCAGGATAAGGATCCAAAAGGAGCAAGAGATGCCAGGAAGCGCCGCTGATCTGGACAGACACCCTTTGCTTGCTGCTGCCCCACACTCAACAGGTCAGTGCAATCTTTTCCTTCATCCCTGCCCCTCCTTCCTCTCCTCCAGCAGCTGCTCTGTTCCTGCCACCCTCTCCCAGTGACCACAGTGCCCTCCCCAGCTGCTCCCTCCTCTGCCCTGAGCTTCCCTTCTGCATCTCCTG